AAATCAGCTCGCTCGACGCTCCGGATCTCAACCAGTACACTACCTGACCCTTCCTACACGTTGTCATAGTGTGTCCCTCTCCTCGCTTCAATTACCTGCACTTGCTAACAATTCTGTCCCTTAGGTGAAGACTGGTCTGATATATTCAAAGTATGATTCTCCACAACTGGACGCTCCTTTCCTTTCTTTCTCTCTTTTCGTGTCTGCATGATCGTTTCACAAGTACAATATTATTAGAATGAAATGTAGTAGAAATAAATCAATGCAAGCATATTAAAATGTAAATACTTAATTATAAGAGGAAAAAGAGAGAAATAAATGAATACCTGGATTGTAAAATATTATAACTATTTTGAAGCCTTGTAAAGCTCTTATAAAGTATAATAATATTTAACAATATACAAAGTACTTTTAAAGCTTTACATTAGATTGTATATATTATAAAACTATATTACTCTTGTTAAAATACAAAGTTCTTTTAATATCTTTTCATTTTAGGAGGTTGGATATAAGTTCATTTACATATTGTCAATACTTATAAACCTTATTCATATTAACAATTTGTACATACCTTTTTGTATCTTATATAGCTTTTTATAATTTTCTCATTTTAAGAGGTTGGATATATGGTCTTTTATATTTTTTAGAAAATTTATATAATTTATATGTTTATAAGCTAATATAAGCCTTAAGACTTTTTCCTGATGCAGAAGCACTTTCCGCCACTGCCGCCGCCGCCACAACCACCATCCTCCTCCTTTACAAGTACTACATTTCCAAAGTGTAAGGACGAGAATTTTTGATTGTCATATAGTCTTTGTTAATTACTTCCATTTATTGCTAACCAAGGTCTGAGCCCAAACGACCAGGAATTGTTTTGCTGTTGCTATGGACCAGCATACGGATTGGTGAGCTTTTTACACGTCCTTATACCTTTCCACTCATGCCACTGATCTAAACTTCCTCACAGATGATCAAATGCGAATATAAAAATTGTCCTATTGGATGGGTGAGCAAGATATTCTTTCACTGGACCAGTCCTTTTAGCTAATTCGGCGCGTTTAAAATTCCATAGTGGTTGCATTAGGCCTGAGATTGTACTCGATGAGGAGGATTATTCATGGTTATGTCGACTCTGTTTCTTGAATATGGGCTTAAAGATGCTAGGAGACTCCGAAGTGGGCTCTCATTCTGAAGTGAAGGGTGACAATGTTGAAATCGGTCATTCTTCGTAAAAAAACTATTGTTGATTGAAGTTTCGCCATCATCACATGTTGTAATGTTCCTTTTTTAAGCCTATACCTTGAGTACAAACAATTACGAGTCACAACTGCGTATCTGAATTGTTGGATACATATTCCAGAATATATTCTATAGTTCATCTGTTGGCGCGGTAGGAAGATGAAGAAAGTCAGCGTGGATCAGTTTCCAGCTTCGCGAGTGAGCTACTTACCAAGTTTTCCGGTACCGTTTATTCGCTCGTCAATCCACAAGTATACACCAGTTGCCAGTGCAGATAGAAGGTACGAATAGTCGAATGCCGCACCGAATACTTCGTAGGCAGGCAATGTTGAGAATACATTTGAGTCCATATCCGCAATTTTCGGAGGAAATGCTGTGCGTAATTGCACCAACGTAGAGATCAGATACGTGCCCTAGAAAGAGGAAGTGGTAGATTAGTCAATGAGATTTGAGGTGAGTTTGCACGCAGTATTTACCATCAGTTGAGCCAATATGAGAAGAAGTAGTGAAGCTCCTAGATTCTGGCTAGTAATCTTCAATACCTATGTAGAGAAACCTGATCAGCATGAGTTCCAAAGAAAGTAACACCAGGATTACCCGTGAAACGGCCCTCAACACAGAACGAACGCTACTTAAGATGATCACACCGACGAGCGCCAGGCTGACTTGTCGAGAGATCGCTGAGATCTGCTCTAGGCTGAGATGTACGAAGGGCAGTAACGACACGAGGTACGTCAGGAAGTGAGTGATTAGGTCTGGATAAGACGATTTGGCATCTTCACCAGTCGTGGTGGCTGCTGATTCAGAGCGAAGAGGCGCGAGTATGTTAAGAACGCACTACGGTAATTCATCATTCATTCGATACTGTACTGGGAAAGGAGAGGAAGATAGAGTTTAGCTTACACTAAGTGTCCGGAATACACAATACAGTGCGAATAGCCTCCCTGCCCAAAGGAACACTCTCCCTTGTAATGTCTTATTATACCGAGCATTCGTTTGTAGTCGTCGTATGTTTTCTAGATTGCGATCCATCTGATATTCAAGCGCTAATAAACCAGTGATCTCTCGTTGGATAGAGGTCAGTTCTACGGAATGCATGTCAGACGATCATGTTCGTTATCAAACTATCGGTGCAGAAATATGCCTGAGTTTCCCGTTATACTAGAAGCCACTCTCGACATCCACGAAGAGTTTTCCGTTGTCTATTCTCATGCAGAGAACGGGAAATGTATTAGAATACGATCGTACTAAGAGAAAGCCGAACAAGAATCAACCTTTACTCCTTGCAGCCTTCTTTCTTCTCTCCGTCGCACCTGTATATCATTTCGTATTCTTTCAAGCGATTCTTCTGCAGTTTGAATTTGCTGTTCAGTCGGCACTTTCCTGGTACCATTCCGAAAGCACGCAATTATATGAGTTTATACACTAAGAGAATTGAGCAATTGCACCTACTGCCTCGTTTGCGAAAAAACTGGCATAAAGTCCCAAACTGCTCGGGCAGCTCCGAGCCCAGAAAGCATACCAATAATGAACGTTCCGAGAACAATCAATCGAGGCAATGCCGCCGAGATGATACCTGGATGCCCTACAGCAAGACTCTCTGGAAGTGGGATCATTGAGAGAGTGAAGAGGAAGAGGGAGTATGGTATGAGTGCCATTAGAATGCGGGCTGGTATTGACCGGCGCCGGGACAAATGACCTACATCAACAGAGTTAACCTCAGAGATACTAAGGAAAGATAATTGACTCACCGATTGGAGACTGGTATGTTAGAAGAAAGTTCTGGGACAAAGGAATTACAAGAAGAATCATGGCCGACTCCAAAAATAATGATATTCGCCAGTTAAACATTCGACTCCTAGATAGGATGAAGACGGTTCTAAGTAAGTACGGGGTTGAGCGTGGCGAAGCACGTTTCTTTCGAATAATGCCCACCTTGAGTCGAGCAGATTCAATTCCTGAGACATAAAGAGCAAGAACAATGTGCAACTCTCCGAGAAACACAGCGAAAAGCACAGGCGTGCTATATTAGAATGCCTCACGTTCCACTTCTTGACGTTTCCATACGATGTGGTACGGGAAGTGGACAACAAGGGCCCATCCCTTGCGGTATTCGGTGCCGGAAGGGTGTCGAGTTCCAGTTCGGCATCGGAGTCATCGTTGCCAACATCGTGTTCATTGTAGCTTTTCGACGGAGCTCCGGTGAGAGTCTGTAAATCGTGGAATACCGAACGCAGCACGCGAGTATAGCATGTATAGCAAAACGAAGCCCTTTTACACTTTATGGATATCTTTGTCGTTTGGGTGGCAAGATGGATTTGTCGTACCTCAATATTGTTATGAAAACGGTATTCACGGGCACGAAATGGTCAGTCGACATGGCTTGACCATTGATTCTTGAGACCAGATCAGTAGATGGTCATTCCGGTACAAGTCGAAGTTTAAGAAGATAACGGGATCGACGTGTCAACTGCGCTCCCGTACGTCATCTCAAACCCACGTGGTAGAGTCGCAACGCGACGCGTTATTTGGAGCTATTTGGTCTAATTCGTTTACATGATCTTACACCGTCAAAGAAATGCAATCAAGAGATCCTCTTATGTTCATCGCAGCGGTAAGGCATATATATTAAAAATTAGATGATCTATCTAAGTCACGAAATCGAATGTGCAAGAGAATTCGCCAATGCCTCCAGATGTGTGAATTGTAATGCAACGGTCGTGCGAAGCTTCCATTAATATGACCAGTTGGATAATTACAGCGGGTGACTAGAACTACTGGAGGGGAAAAATGGGAAAAAACCCAGACACAATAGAAGTCAAGTATATGGGGGGTGTGCACGTTTTTTATGGGCTACTAATGCCCTTCTAGAGGAGAAACGGGAGGGGCAAGCAGAACATAAAAATAAGTCATGCGATTCGATAGGGAGTTTGGCTGTTCTATATAGGGTCTTGGACTCTGCCCGTGAGAGCCCAGTCTAGTCAAACCAATGACCCCGTAGTCTATCCATGCCATGCGTGAACTTCCATTCGATGCCCCGCTCCTTGCAGTAACACTCGCTTTTCGGAAGTTTGATATCCTGTAGTACCCTGAAACGATACCCGCTCCTTGTACGTACAAGGAAGCCTTCATTTTCCGAGCACATGCACACGTGTAGAGACCATAAATTCTTCGTCTGGTCGGTTTCTAGATACGCTAGCAATCGACGATCAAACATCTCCCAAGGTTCATGTTCTGTATCAGGATACTTTCGGAGGTCCATTGAAAACCCAATCGTAAGTTCTCCCGTGGATGACGGAATGGATGTGAAAACTGCAGGAGAAGGAAATTCGTCCGATGTAACGCAGAGCCTTCGGAGTGTATTGCTGCATGGGAGTAACTGGGGAAGCACAACGTTTCCAGACTCGGGAGACCGTAATAGAAGGCTAGTGACATGCACGAGAAGCGGGGCGACACTCTCGAGGGTTGCGAACGGATGTTCATGTGTCGGCCGACCTCTTCGCCCCAAATTCTTTTCAACTGTATGTAGGTGGAAGACGTCATCAGCACCGCGTGTCCAGGAAAGACGTTCCGACGTAGTATAAGCGAGAATGTGAACCGAGCACAAGTCTGGCAAGTGCGTGATGGGCAGAAGTTCCATAGGGAGCGAAATTGCAGATAGACCGCTAGGTGACCAGTTGTAGAGCCTCAGGGACAGACTCCGAAGGCGAGGCAGAAACGCGAAGGACGAAAAGAGTGCATCGGGTATTGGGAGGTAATCGCGAGCATGTGGACAGATCTCGAGCTTGAAATCCCGGACCATCGGTATAACGTGAAACAGCTCGGAGAACGCGATTGCATCGCAGCTCCGGACCGTAAGACTCATCGAGCTCACTGAAGTCAACCTCTCCAAGAGGGCCTTCTTCAGCGGTCGGATGAGACCAGTAGCATCATAATCTTCGAGTGCAACAACGGACAGTTGCCGTGTCCATGGCCCATAAATCGGTTGCCTTAAAAATTCCATTGCCACTTTCCGAGATGGATTGTTCAGTTCGACGCAGCGTCCGAGAGCACGTCGTGCAGGTATAAGCCAGCTTCGCCGCACGAGAGACATATTCAACAGATCCTTTCGAAGTTCACCAACCCTCTTAACACTCCCACTGCCATTATCTGATACTCCATTCCCATTCAAAGACCAGCGAGATACACATTCGATTTCGTCACCTATAACGTCGGTGACACCGTCAAGAATTGCTTGTGGAAACCCGCCGGACGTAGCCTGACTACAGAATCCACGATTCGTGAGATAGACAGCCCTCCTACATCGTCGCTTGGCTGCGTGTAAATAGACATCCTCGGTTCCAAGAAAATTGAGCTCCTTCGGGTCAAAGTTCGTGTTCCGTACAACGTCGAAAATAGCATCCATAGTCTTAAGGTCCACACCGTGAGCAAGACAGAGACTGGCAATCATAGCATCTGAAGGAGTCGGGAACTCTATATATGAACCGAGCGTGCTGTCAAAGGCCAACTTTTCGTAGAATGGCATCGGTACCGTCATCGTTGCGGTTGACACGAGTTGGCGACGAGCTGGTTGGTCGCGAAGGGTCATACATATTCACTAGCTCGAAAATTTCTTTCGCTTCTAGCTTGCCGTTCATTTTTTCCCGTTATGTAAGGGTTCCACAATCTGAAGGTGGAAGAGGAAGATGAGCAAGCTCAAGCACGCATGAGCCGCGAGAACCTGCGCAAACAAAGTCCAAACAAACAAGCGTAACATGCCCTCTCGATTTGCTCAAAGATTGGACCGCGACATACACAAACCTGTCGACGCTATCACAACGACACCGTAGGTGTTGTATTTATATTATGTTCCTTGTGCAAGGCTTTGAAAGAGGGCCTGGGTGTATCTGGTGCTGGAAGAACTACGCATTGCGCACTCCTCAAAAGCAAACCTAAACTGGTTGTACAGACCCACTTTGCTCTCATTCACCACCTCCATTAACAATGTCCACAAAGCAACGGTGCTCTTCATCTCACTGTTGTCTGTCTTTTCTGAGGGTCCCTTTCCCTCATGCAAAACAATCGCGGCGATGCCACACCCACGCTCCCTAATGATGTACTCCGGACGATCTTTCTTAATTTTGTCTCTAATAACTCAGAAAATACAATCCCAAGACCGTCTCGCACAAGTCCGCCCTTAAATCTATCGTGGGTCAACAGGCAATGGCGCGATGTTGCCTTGTCTACCCCCGAACTCTGGACTGCTATCGCGCTTCCGAACGAACGAGAGCGAAGGACAAACCCAGATCCAGATCCAACGACTGGAGATATCGAGTTACTCAAGCTATACATCTCTAGGAGCGGGGAAGAGCTACCCTTCTCATTTGCACTTGACTATGGAGGAGTGTCGAATCGAGGTTCAAATATCGACGTCTTATCCCTTCAAAAACACATAGATGGTATAAATCGTTTGGTGTCAGTCATGGATTCCGTGCGCCACAGATGGCGAGTTATCGTCGTGCGCTGTCGCTCAGTCGAGGCTCTCGGATCCTTATTAACATCGCTAGCTCTTGGTGCGCCTAAGCTCGAGCACTTGCTCATTTCGACGACACCCAATGCATGTATACTCACTAGAACTGAAGAGGAGACAGACATGCAAGTAGCTCAATATGTGTTGGACGTATCTGCTTGTCCAAAGCTAGAGAGTATTGTGCTTCAGTCCCCGGAGCTTCAAGTAGACCCATTCATTTCTGAGAAAGCATGCCTAAGGAGCCTCAAGTCCCTTGCTCTCAACTACAGCACGTCGCAACCGGACGCGTTCACATGGCTTCAATGTGCACCTTTCCTTGAGACGGCCTTCATCCAGCTCATCAACGCTCCGCCTTTCGCCCTTCCACATGCTCTACCATTACTCTTGCCATACCTTACCCGCCTCTCGCTCGTCTGCCTTTCCGGGGATAGTACAGAGGTCTCAAACCCCTCGTCGTTCCTGGAGCTTCTCAGGCTTCCCGAGTTGAAGACGTTTGAGCTTATTATGGACGGTGCTCTTGGCACAAACCAGGGTTGGCCGCATGCTCTTAATATGATTCGCAGGTCTAATCCAGACCGCGATTTCGAGACGCCTCTGGAAGAACTCGAACTGCTGGGAACTCCAATGGCGACCTCAGAATTTATTGATATGCTCTCGTTAGTGCCAGGACTAAAGAAGCTTACTATCGATGATGCACTCGCCTCAGATGAAGTGATGCTTCGACTAAGCACACTCGAGGCCGATGACCGAACACCTGTACCCGGAAGTATTGCTCATGAAGTAAGTGCGAACACGAGACGTGGACAGGTTCAACAGCCTTTGTGTCCCGAGCTTGAAACACTTGTGCTTCATGCATGCTCGGCTTCACTTTCAGTCTTGGCGAACATGGCGTCATCTCGTTGCCGTCTCAATGCTCAACCTCAAGGAACTGGTGATGGGGCATCTTATCCTGAGTCTACCCCTTCAGAAGAAACGTCAGGCAATAGGACAAGTAACATGCAGAATTATAGGACGTTGAAGAAACTGGAATTGGTACATAGTTATCGCAACGTCCCACCAATTACTGAGAATCCGCTATTCTCGAGGTGTCTGGACTACGGCCTAACTATCGTGCAACGCCCACGCACCATTTCTCGGCTTTGAAACATGCACGATGTTTCTGTGGTATTTTAGTCGTTCCTGCCATACATTGATATGAAATGAAAGGTTTTACCTACTATAATTCCCGTTGCAAACGTACTGGCCTTTTTACAGTCATTATGTGTTATGCTTTATTCCCTCTGAGAGAGTAAAGCGGAGTTTTATTAAAGCCGAGGCGAATGATTGCACTCAGTTGGTGCTTGGGCTCAGAGTGTGAGAATAAATAACCGTAAGTTGACGTAAGATTCCTTGATTACCTATTTTGGAAATTCGAAGTGGACATTCTGAATTCGAACCTCCGTTCTTTGTACTCACACTTGCCTCCATCCTCGACATGAACCTCGTTAGGAATTCTAAAGAGACTTGGGATGTACTTGCCTTTGGTCTATCACAGACCTTTAGATAAATCCACTCTTTGCCAGTACCTCTGACGGCAATGCTCACTGGCTCCAAACGTCCCTTCTTACTGATGCGATCAACAGACTGACCGAGGACGTACACGGAAGAAGGGATGTAAACTATGGTCCACCTATTCAACTGCTTAGTTCCATCATAGAAGCTGTAAACCTGGTCTCGTACTATGGTCTCGTCTCGTCCTAAACCACGAGCCATGATAAAAACATGAATCGCGGTGCAGGCTTGAATTACTTAAGTCCCCACATTTTCTCTTCTCTCTTGACAAAATCATGCTCTTCCTCCTTGTCCTATCGCTGTGCTTTATTCTACTCGCATCTGGATGGCCGTCACCGCACAACCATCTATCCAGTGTCACCTTAGATCCAGAAGCTATCAGCGACTTTTGATTATGTCATTGTTGGAGACGGACTCGCCGGATTAACCGTTGCGGGCCGGTTATCTGAAGATCCTACGAAGACCATACTTGTAATTGAAGCCGGAAATGACAATTGCATAAATTAGACTATCTATGACGTCTATGAATACGGTGTTGTGATATGTACAAATTTGACATGGAATTGGGACACAGAGTTCGGTAGGAGTATAGTAGGGTTAGTCTTCGAAGTTATTCATGCGAGCCAATTGATATCTTTTCACTCACTACCGACGTTGATTTTAGTGGTCGGACTCTAGGAGGCAGTGGTTCTGTCAACGCGGCTCTATGGACACGAGGGACGAAGGAACAATACGACGCACTCTCGCAGCTCCTCGTGATGGAGTGATTAAAGCACTTCGAGAAACACCCTGGGTACATTTCGTTTGTCATGGACGTTTAAATTCAAGACCTTTCAATTCTTCATTCAAGCTACCCAACCGCAAGCGAGACAGCGAACACGATCACGAGCATGACCGTGAGCAAGACCGTGGGTTAACTCTACTCGATATCGTACAAGGCAATGTTCCGAACGGGGAGTTCGCATTCCTTTTCGCCTGCCACACTGCCGAGCAACCTCATGACGGCGTGCTCGATGAGGTGCTTCACCTGTCCGCAGCAATGCAGTTTTCTGGATTTCGGAGTGTGATTGGATCGATGTGGGAGCTACTCGATAAGGATGGTCCATATTTTGCCAAGACTGTTTATGAGCACATGAGGGAGTGCAACGAGGGCGAGATGAAGTATACGAGGGCGGCTGCGGGACTTCGCAAAGCAGCAGTTGGACTCAAAGAACGGGACGGCATTCGCACTGAGAGATGGTTCAATTTGGTCCACATGGGTGCTTGATTCAAGTTGATTGGCTAGAGTTTCGGTGTTGTGTAATACTTACTGCCCTATGTACGCGAAAAAAGCTATTTATGCCATTTTCTAACAATATTGACTGCACAGACAAGATTACAGCACCATCATTTTCATGCTAAAGACTCGGTTTGCAGAAGCGCTAATGGTTGGACACAATACAGATCTGCGACGGTCATGTTACATTATACTCGTTCCACCTGCTAGTGATTTTATTTCTAATACGTAACAAGGGCAATGCAAACCATGAGCCCAGAGTAACAAAAAGTAGATCGATCGAATTTAAGCCTCAGAATGCAGATCTTTTCTTGAGTCTCTTTGGCTTTGACTACTCTCCCAAGATCGCAGACAATATTAACACCTCCTTGGGGGAGGAACGAAAATCGCGAAAATAAATTCGACCAGGGATCCATGATGTAGCATTGTTAATGCATCGAAGCGGTAATGCAATCAATCCAGCTTTCTGTTAAGGGAGTCGCTCTGTTGACACTCGGTAACGTAGTGTATTGTGTCACATCGACGTAAGACGCTTACTTTGCCCATTGCAAAGTCTAAGGATATCAGCCGTGCGCGACCCTGGTAATAATTTACAATCTCCGTTTCCACTTTTTAGCTGTGACTATTTGGAGAATAAACAGCATCTACTCGCATGGCATCCCCGTAATCACCCGAAAACACGACAAAGTGTTTGAGAGCCAATGCAACTTTCCAACTAATCGAAATACAGAATCTTCATCATCCCTGGCATGCGAACCGCAATAGCGCCGCTCCAAGGATCAACAGACGAGATATTCGGTTCAATCTCGTCACTATACGGTGCTATTTCGGGATCGAGCCACGCCGAGTTGATTGGCTGTTCACGCTCGTTGAAGAGAGAAAAGCACTGGAGCTGACGCCGTAGGCCGAACATGAGACCGGCGTTCGAGACATTTCGCGGATTCCGAGGTAGTCGAGCAATCGGGGCACAGCTCGACTTCACGAGCGAAAGGGAACCACCTTCGCCCTCAGACGTTGAATCATTAGAGGGGGACAATTGCAAACGAAAGGAGACGAGACGCATTGGAGTCTGTCCTCCAGGTCCACACATGTATGCGACGACGAACATCTCAGTCGGAGCGTCCTGTCGCCACGTAGGCGTGAAGACGTGATGCGCCAGGATCCATGGGCCAAAACCTGCACTTCCGTTCTCAGGATCTTCGTGTTCCCTATTATATGGAAGAGGAAGTATGGAGTAACCTGGATCTGATGGACGGAATGGTATGTGCTGCCAAGCATGATGATCCACAGCGTCAGACCAGAAGTCCCTAAGCATCGATAATGGGAGCTTGACAGCACAGAAACCGGACTCTGCCTGTTGCACAAACGCAATTAAGTTATTGCCGGCGAGTACCTTGGCACGTGCATCAATTCGGAGGCCCTTACATTGCAATGTCAATATTCACGCTCATCGGTGCCAAATACAATAGCTTATGCTTACCGTTTGGTCGACGAAGTCGAGTATCAGAGCCTCACTGGTTCTCCAATTGACGATAACAGTCTGGAAGCTACGTGGGATGCAAGAGATGAAGAAGTCACCTTGAAGCATTATACGGGATGGTGACACGAGCGGCATCCTGCGCTCAAAAACAAGCTCCCCAGAGCGCTGCGCGAAGTCAAAAGTATACAGGCGGAGGAGACTCCTACAGAAACATATAAAGATAAGTGGACAGAAGACATGTATTTATTTCCGACTCACGTTGAGGGGAACACAACGTCATCGCAGACTGTCGCAACGACGAGAATCAAACCGTCATTCAGGAGTTCGTAATCGAAGCCAGTGCTGACGATGTGTTCTTCCGGAGCTGGGATGTTCCAGAGACGTTCTCGCGACTCAATCGACCAAAGTTCTATGTCGCCATAGTTAGCTATAAGTAGCTCATTCCCGCCAGGAAGAAGTCTCGCTTTGATGATCCTTTCATCCTGGATGTGAGGAAGCGGCAGTTCAACGGATCGCAATGGTGGAACTTGTCCTGGTGTGTTCCATGTCCGATACTTATGCACAGCGTCGACAACTTTCCTTCTCAAGTCAAGGTCTGGGATAGAATCGATAGTCTGGAATGGACTGATATCTGGCGCTTGCTCGATATCGAGTTTCCTCATGAGCATTTGCCAGACAGGGCGTGATTGGCATACTCGATGTAAGGTTTTGCACGTCTATTGGGGAGTCAAAATACATTCAAATAATGAAAAGCTGATAACGCACGCTTTCAACGCTGAGAATGGTCTCGACGGAGCAATATGACAGTATTTCAAGGATGATTTCATTAGGTAAGGTCAGGAGAGCGCATTGAGTGGCAGCAATTGGCATAAACGAGCGACGGTTCTCAAAAGAGAAGTTGATAGAAAGGAGCGGAGACAGTTGGTGTAGAGGTTCGACCAAACCGCGTGGACAGAATGATGAGGATGGAGTGCCATGAGAGGCAGGCTTTTGGGGACACGTAAGTTTGCTTCCAATGGAGAGTTCAAAGTCTAGCTGCAAAGTGATGCCCAATGAAGCCCGGCTCCCTCTTCTCCAGCTCTCTTGTCTTGAACAATAAATGATAAATGCTTGAGCTATCTGCACTCCTTGCAATATTACCTCTTCAATAAAAATGAATGGGTCAAGAGAGTGTGCCAAAGCTAAGCATGCGTATATCATTTACGCGTCATCAAAACGGTGTCCAGGTTCTGTTGACGGAAGCCTCGAGCACTAATTCGCGTCAAAGCTTTCGAAGTTGTAAAGCTCGAAGACAGTTCATCATTCTCAATGAACACAGTTTGAGCCATGAATTATTGTAGTCAGAGTGACTGAATTTCACTGAAAATCGGGAGACCATGTTTGTCGTTGTTGTTTTGACAATATCACATGACCCAATATGACGCCACATTAGTAAGCAGATCACGGGAGGAAATGAACCCCTTTCTGGTCCCGAATTGAACATTACGGAAAGCATCTCTGACTCCGTCTATCTACTTACACAACCTCACTGTTACTTTTCTGTATATTTAACGTTAATAACATGCATCCTTACGGAGGAGTACCATATTGTCCAAGATGCTCAAAGGCGGTCTACGCGGCAGAGCAGGTGAGATAATTGTCATGTATATACTTCTTCCGATGCTCAAGTCCCGTTGAATAGATTATGGGCCCCGGACGGATGGTACGCCATTGCTTTTCCCCATGCACGTTATACGAATGTCTTATTTCTATGTCCACATATAGCTCTATCATAAGGTATGAATTTTGATTGATTATGCATGCAAATTAGTAACAATGGCCCGAGCAGCCATGCTTGGCTTGTACAACTTGTAACAAACGTCTAGACTCACTCTCGTTGATGGAACACGACAAAGAACCATACTGGTATGCTACTACCCGGGTATTCTCCTCTGCCTTGACTGACAGCTCGACGTACGTCCAGTAAACAATGTTACAACAAGAGTTTCGGACCGCGAGATCTCCGACAGGCCAATCTCCCACATCGTGACGACCTGCCACCGCCGCTATCCACGTCCCCTGTGCGGCCCACCCTCACCGGCTCTCCGGCGAGATCATTCAGGAGCACTTCACCTACCCGAGAGGAGATAGAGACGGAGGCGCGGTTTGAGCGGGCAAAGAGAGGTCCACCAGAACGCATCGGTTCCCCATCGAGCTCAGTACAAGCGAGAGTGCGTTGTTACGCCATCTCACAATTATAGCATCAATATTTATTTACCACAATACTTACAACGTAGGTGCTTGCGAAGCGGATGGAGAACCTTGCTGTCAGTGAAGAGGCTGAGAAGGCGCTCATTAGACCAGAGGATGATTCTAGCCCAGTAAACGGCGACTTCGACAGAATTGAAGAGGAGGAAGAGGACGACGAGGACGAGGGTTTCGAGAGACAAAGAAAGCCAGAGGAGCGGGAATTTGAACGCAGCACACCTGGCATCCCGCGTACGATTCCTCTCACCCCAACACACCTTGCACGCAGCCAAAGCGCAGGTGCCTCTCCGCGACCTCATAGTCCAACGTCTCCGATATCCGCTTCACACGCTCTACCAGGCTCGCCTACACCTTTGAGGCAAACAATGACAGGAACGCGTTATGGTGCCGCACTGGCCGGTCAAAATACGGGTACAGGCAACGGGCGCGGGGGTAGTCCACGGTTTGCAATGCCGGGCACGAGCACGCCCTTATGTGCACGCTGTTCCAAGCCTGTTTACTTTGCGGAACAAGTGAAAGCGAATGGACGGGTATTTCACAAGCCGTGCCTGCGTTGCACAGATTGTAATACTGCTCTAGATTCGGCCAGACTCGCGGAAAAGGGCGAAAAAGTTGTGTGTAGGAGCTGCTATAGCAAAGTATGTTCACCACGCCCTTTTGGGCGTTCGAAGCGCTGACTTCTCTTCTCTTCTGTAAGCTTTATGGCCCTAAAGGAAGTGGATATGCTCTATTGGGCAAGGCGGGTGCTTGAATATCACATACTATTTGCTGAGAAGGATCAAAGAAGAAATGTATATGTATAATGTTAACGACCTGTCCTTATTTTCCTAACTTATACCCTTTGTGCCTGTATCCATTGTATGTGCTGTTTCAATGATATGCCTATACGGATGGGTTTGGGGTTAACTCACATTGTAATGCGCCATTGCCTTTTGTGGGCTCTATAGGAACGACTTAAAACCATTACTCCGCACAGCGAGGAGAAACTACTGTCAATGATACTGCATGTAAGGATCTGGGTTCCCAGTACCTGTCTGTCACCTGTACGTGTCCGAGTGGGTAGCGATTTTTAAATTAGCTACAGGATACATAATTAATAGTCGTGCTGAAGCGATGTTTGCCAAGTCATCCATGGCCATGCCTCAGGCACGTATTTTCGAACATAAATGATCTGTATGTACATCATCCGATCGCGGTGTTCAAATTTCAAAAGAAATACAAAGACATGATTTCCGGTATCTTCGCAGCGATGGAAGATTTGTATTGTATTAAGATGACCGTGCTTATGATGACGACGTCCCTAAGGAAATGTCCGAACATCGATGCGAAGCAGCCAAATAGACAGAGCTTTCTCCAATCTACATGCACCACAGATTCGCGATTGACATGTTGGTAAATTGGAAGAATTACAATATGCAAATAGAGACGATCGTTCCCACGATTGCAATGCATGTCTGAGGATGGTCGGGGCGTTAACCGTTCATTTTCTCCTTCCCACGTTAACCCTGAACACTGATCAGTGAACACTCAGGACTCAAGACTCAAGTTGTCCAGAAATCAGTTTCATTGACTTCGTCAAAACTTCTCTAACATGATGCCTGTCGTTGAATGGTCAATAGTTAGACGACCGCCTATGCGACCGTTTATAATTGTCGTCTTTCTCTCACCCCAGCGGGCCAACACTTGAGTATCTCGCTTCCTTTCCAAGGTCCTTCGCCTCGGCAAAACAGGGACACTGATGCTGATCGAAACCTCATAAAAAGACACATCAATCTCCACGGCACACGATCCAATAGTCCACATGATGGGTGTATAAACACGGGTTATGATATTAATACAAAAGCTAACTCCCGGTGCGACCGGTCAGCTAGCCAGGGCACCCTCTCGCTTCAGCTCTGCACATTGCCGTCTATCCGTCTTTCGTCCGCCCGCGATTGTGCGTATCGCGTGAGCCGAAAGTCTCTTGTTCTTCGCGGCTTGGAGCGGCTTTTGCTATTTGTCTTGAGAGAGCTTAAATCCCTTTGGCCTAGAGAAGATACTCTACTGTGACGTGCTGCAAAATGTATCTCACGAAGAAGACTCTCGTCATCGCATTTGCTCTTGGTGGACGTATAAACGCGCAGTCTCTCAGTCTTGGACCCTCGACTTTTACAGTTCCCGGTGCATTCCCAACCTCGGTATACAGCAGTTATTATAACAACCCGACACAGACAAGTGAACAAGTGCAGCCTGTTATTTCGGATCCTGTCACTGTATGTCTTGAGCTTTTCGAATTCGAAATCACCGGGTTACTGAACATGCGGGACACAGCATACGGTGTATCCGTTTGACCTCACGAATCCGGACACTATCCCTGTGGTGCGTACTCTTCTCCCTTGGTTATATTATTATCTTGCTCTCGTTAAGTGCATTTAACATCACACGTTTAGAATGATACGAATGACCCGCACCCTCTACCCCCACGAGCCTCGGATTCGACGATCCTCGCTCATGCAGTCCGACAAATACAGCTACTCGCGACACCTGAAACGCCAAACTCACCATTTCTCAATGACACTTGCGCAAAATGTCAAGCTGCGCTGGGTATCCTCAAATTCGTAGCGCTCGCGGCGCCAGAGCAAGGACCTGCCGCAGTCGTCGCGATGTGCCAAGCATTCAAGCTATCGTCGAATTGTAATACAGCATTTGGACCTCTTGCTCTTGGAAGTGTCATTACTCAGGTATGTGAAAGTCCCGCGGATGCTCCGGAGGAGAGGCATGGTAAGAGTGAGCTGATTGGAGTGAACCTGGACAGGTCGTCGCACGCGCAGACGTCGAGGGATTCGATGGGCAGGTACGTATTCTCATAGCATTTTTTCTTACCCATGCAGTCTGCATATCAATACCATCTCATTTCGGCTTCGGCGTCATCGCCATCACTACTATTGAACCTGTATTGCTTCCTTGATGGGTGCCTGGTACAATTGCTTCGGTCACATGGCTAACCGACTCTATTTTTATATTCTTTCATCATCGAAAATAAATAGATGATGTGCCAGAATTTCCTTAGCGCGTGTCCACTCCCTCCGACATCGGCACTCAACCTCACCAACTGGTTCGCAAAGCCCAAGCCTAATCCGCTTCCTCCGCCAAAGAAGCCAAGCGGAAAACGTCTGAAGGTTTTGTCGCTTTCGGACATACATTTGGATGCACGTAAGTCAGGCTTGTACTCGTTTCATGATGAACCTGAGGCACTGATGCACAAAATCTGCGCATATAGGGTACGCCACAGGAGCTGAAGCAAATTGTACATCTGGATTGTGTTGTCGTGAGGGAAACGTTGCCACTTCCAGCCCGAATCAAACACTTGTTCCCGCCCCACGTTTTGGTGCATTCCTCTGGTATGTCCGGGATTATCGTTGTTTGTCATCCAGTCGCCCTCAGTCTAACGTATCCGTGCCTTTGATTAGTGATTCACCTTATTCGCTCACGCTTTCAGCGCTTGAAGCAATTCCAGTGCTTACCGGGACGCAAGATACTGGTTTTGCGTGGACTCTATACAATGGTGACCTGGTCGCGCACGATACAGATGCACAGCTCTCACAAGCATACGTGGAGTATGTCGAGGTTGGTCATCTTTCTAATATTCCATTTAGAAGGCATATATGAATTGCTGATGACGCAATATGGTTTAGACGGTGATCTTCGACCTCATCAAACGTATGTTGAAAGCGGGTCCGACATATGTCGTGATTGGAAACCATGACTCTGTCGGCGTGTACGTTGATCCACTTTGAGGCTCATTATTTCAAGTGATCCTAACTAATTTATTCCGTGCGCCTTTCATAGGGCTGAAGATGCACCGAAACTACTCGGAGGAGAGCTCGCGCACCAATACGACTGGTAAGACGAACCGCAACCATCCTGTCTTTGTTACACACTTAAGTTTGCAAAACTGATTATGTATCCTAGGAACTACGAGCATGTCTCAAGTCTCTGGCAACACGAAGATTGGATTCCCGAAGCAGCTGTAGAGCTCGCTCGTGCGCATTACGGTGGATATATGGTCCGCCGGAAGGATGGACTGCGGATTATCACGCTGAATACGAATCTTTGGTACCGGTAAGAGTGTGGCCTATCTATTGCATGTTTTTTACCCATTCATACGTTTCACACGGTGCCAGGGCAAATTGGTTCAACTACATCAACATGACCTCTTCTGATCCATCGGGCATACTTCGGTTCCTTACGGATGAATTGCAGGATGCGGAGGACGCTGGAGATCGCGGTACGTCCTTGTTGAAGTAAAGCCTCAAGTAATTTGGTTGATGTGAAGAATTCCCTAGTGTGGATCATGGGACACGTACTCAGCGGTTGGGATGGGACCAATGCGCTATTAAACCCATCCAATCTTTGTAAGCCTCATGTTTATTTAAGAGAGCAATTGACTCGAGAACCTGACATAATTTTCTTCAGTCTATCAAATGTACGCTGTGATGCTTCGTATTGTTTAACTTCAGTCTTTTGATACCTGAGTAGCGTTGACCGTTATTCTCCGCATGTTATCGCTGGTATGTTCATTTGAGATCTTACTATTTCAGCGTTAATAATTCGTTTCACCTGCCTTTTCAGGTATCTTCTGGGGCCACACACATGAAGACGAACTCTCGGTATGTTACTAGCCAAGGCGCATCATACACCAACAATCTTGTTTATGACGAATCACATAGATATTCTACACGAATAATGGGACCGTGCAGTCTGCTGAGAATGCATTGGTCGTCTCTTGGGTACGCTTTTTCGATTTCTCGCTATCCCATTCGTTAGCTTATCATCGTGCCATAGAATGCACCGTCGATTACACCTGCTTCAAACCTAAACTCAGGCTTCCGTGTATACGAGGTAGACTCTTCTGTGAGTAATTTCCTTGGGTCTGCATGCCTTACGGTCATTTTAACACCATGCTTCACTTTCTTCTAGACGTTTGAAGTACTTGACGCACACACGTGAGTCTATATTAGCGTCCCTTCCAATCGACAACAATGCAGCGTACGACTGTGAACTAATTCCGTGTTCGGAAACACAGATGGAAGTCCGATGTGAATGCCTTCCCTGCACTCGACGGCCAAACCGCTTTCGGACCGACATTTACATACGAATACAGTGCGCGCGATACGTACGGCGGTAATATCACTGGCTGGGGATCAAACGACCCACTTAACGCGACATGGTGGCACCGGGTTACAGAAGGTATTTGCACCACTATTCTCTCACACAATCAGTAGACCTTACATGGGGAATTCTGCTTTTGTCAGTAATGGAGAACGACACATCCCTCGTCCAAGTACGTATTCTTCCTTTTCTTCACCCGTCCGTATACTCAATTTTACTCATGCACTAATTTCTCGTACACGTATAATAACAGACGTTCAACACATTGCAAGGCAAATCTTCAGTCCGCACCAAGCCTTGTACTGGTGAATGTATTACTGCGAAGATATGTTACCTGCGTAGTGGATCTTCCAGCATTGCAAAGCAGAACTGTCCGGCAGGGTTCGGCTCTGTCCAAGGCTTGTTCTGAGCAAGATGATTTGTCTTGTGTGAAAATGCAGATGTGTGATGGGCATAAGAGTGGGGGTAAAATATTGGTTGGCAGTTGCAGGTTGCTATGTGACGCTGAGGGCAGATGTTGGGGATAATCATATTAATTACGGTATATTAACGATTTGTTCGATTCTTTCTCCTATTGGAATCAAATAAACGCGTTAAAATCGTAATATCATAACAACACGTAAATTTCCGAAAAGGCAATTAGAACGTTAGATTACCAACAACACAGTATACTACTCTACACAAACATAAGGCACACGACCACACGAACAACAACCAGAGAACGCTGCGCAGTTCTACACTTGGCTAACAGGCTCATACCCAGCCCTACCCCTCCCAAACCCAAGACTGAATCCCATAAAGTGACCTTTTCCCTTCCGTCCTCCCCTCCCATCTCTCCCATCTTCCTCCTCTTCTCTCTCTCTCCTCCTCCTCGCCTCACGGAACCCTTCAAGTGGCACATCATACAACCGCACATACTCCACGCCAAGCTCCTTCCCCGCCGTCCAAAAGTCCTTACAATTACCCAAAATACCCAAGTCGAACGGATTAGCCGCCTTACTCGCGCGGGCCAGCCCGTCTGCAGCGCGTCCCCTCGTAAAGACGTCCAAGCCCGTCAGAGCCATAAGTGTGCCTCCACATCCAGCATGATTATGTCCTCCCGGTCCATTCATCGGCGGTGTACCCAACGTCAACCCATCATCTCCCATCACCATCCCAGTATTCTGGTTCGAATGACCCGAAGGAGAACTCCTATGTCCCATCTGTGACGCCAAACTCGTACCCCCACGTCCACCCATGAACCCATACCTGCCCAAATTCGATACTTCGAACGTCGTCATTTGTCGTGTAATTTGATATAGTTGTCCTAAGAGAAGGACGGTCGTCCAGAGGAGTTGGAGGGTTGACCAGCAGGCGACGGAGAAGAGGAAGGGGTCGTAGGCTGTTAGTGTGCAGAGATCGTCTGGGAGGAGACAGGATGATGAGGGTTCGGAGGCGACGCTGACTGTCGAGAAGTCTAAAAAAGTTTGTGCTTGATTGGTCTGTACTTAATGCAGATAATTGAAGAATCACTTACAGGCAAAAGAGAGATAATCGAACAAAATAACTCCGATAACGAGTGTGCAGACGAAGATGATGAATTGGCGATGATTATTTACACCAACTAAGTACAAGCGCATGAAATCAGTAAGGTATAGTGATGTTTATTTTAAAATATGACACATACCACAATTCCAGACCCAAGGGCAGTGACTACAGAGAATATGAGAAAGCCAATAATTGTGACCAAAGTGAAGTCTTACTGATCATGCCGAGCTACACATTTGTCACAAACACGGCAGTGTTTCGAGCGCAGCGGCTTGCGCGCCTACATCAAGTAAAATAAGCAACTAGTAAAACAGGTACGACGAGGTGTAGGAGCCATACCATGCATTGTATACAAAACGTCTGTCCATTCAAACGTCCCTCCGAAGCAAGGTCCTCCACGATCTTCAGGAAAAGGAAAGTCAACCAGTATTTCAGAACCAGTGTCAAACTAGAGTGCATACAGCTCTGAGCTCTCCATCGTTCACGGGTTTCGGACAAGTCCCAGGATCAAGAGTAATAGCCCGTACAAAATTATACACACACAACCCATAAGCAAGTGCGAACATAAGATGTACAAATGCATGATGCTGTGTCTCTGTACAAGGAAATCATTAATGTCAGTAAACTGCCCAGAATAATACAAAGTAGTATGAACTGTACGTTGGATAAGCCGAGTAGCCCAAGAATATGCAACCCAAACTAAGCTTCCGAAGATTATTCCAGCGTAGTAAGGACTTTGGACAACACCATCACTATAGCTTGCAGTATTGAGAAGGACGCGCGTTACGATCTGAGAAATCCATCAAGTTAGCTAGTAGGTAAAGTGTAAGTAAAGGAGTTCGACATACATGGTGCATTGCGAAGAATTCAGCCATTGCAAGGAGGATCCCAGTATACCAGGGCATGATTTTGAGCGTCATGAATATAAGATAAAAGAAAAACGTCGGCATGATGAATATTGCGATTTTGGTGTTTCGCTGTATCCCAAACCAGTCAGTACAACTTCCAATGAAATCTGGAGGAGTAACTAACCTCATTGAGCGGTTTCGACTTTCTCGTTCCATCTTCTAACATCCCACCTTCCTCCAAAGCGCGTTTCCACGCTCCAAGGCTCTTCAGCTCAACCGCCATATCCTTTGGCGTTTTCCCCTCTTGGTTCTTGGCATTAATGTCCGCACCTCGTTCAATTAGTTTCCTAATACAATTTCGATTTCCTTTCACCACAGCCCAATGTAACGGTGTCAATTCCGCTTCGTCTCGCGTATTCGGATCCGCGCCGTGTTTCAGCAATAAGTCAACGGACAGCGCGTCTCCTTGATACGCTGCCCACATGAGCGACGTATGTCCCTGCGCATCGCGAGAATCGACATTAATGGGTTGGTGCAAAATATACAACAACGGCATAACAGCCGACGAGTGTGTAACAAGATGCAAGGTATTATATCCCTGCGAATCCATAATCGTCGGGTCCGCACCATGTGCAATCAGTAGCTGAATCACGTATAAATAACCATTCCGTGCTGCCCATTGCATAGGCGTCGCAACCAGGTCTCCACCAAGCGCGTCGACTTCCGCACCTTGGTCAAGGAGGTACCGACATACAGGCAGTTGCGCATTGATCGCAGCCCAGTGTAAAGGAGTGATATTCTGTTCATCTCTATCCGAAGCTCTCGCCTTCCCCGACTCGATCATAGTACGAATCGTGTCCAAGTCTCCTCGTTGCGCAGCAACGAATATATTCATCTAAGCATATTCCACATACAACCAACCAAGAAAGTCAGCAAAACTATGTTTTTCTTCTTGTTACTAGCACCTCTTTACGGGCGCCTAGCACTAAACAGGAGAAACTCCTAACAAAATGCATACCTCAGGCTCATAAACCGTCTGTAGCCCCTGCTGCTGTGCAGCCGACGTATTCGTTCCCGACGCATCTTCAAGGTTAATCGCAGTGGTCGGCTCGCCAGTAGGAGGGACAAAAGTTGTTGGGTCCGTCATGGTGGTCGTTAACGAAGAGAAACACGACAACCCGCCCGTCCATCAAATATCACATCCGCTCAGTGTCACTCTGGACTACGCCGTGCGCTGACGTCACGTGCGCTACACCGCCCAGTACTGCTAACTGCTTCCTATGCTGCGGTCATTTAGCGCCGTTACCACAACGCACTCCTAAATAAAATTAGAAAATTACGGAAATCGCTTATTGCCGCTTAATACCCCGTAGAGCTTGCCCCCACGTCTGCTTTAATGGAGTAGGAAGTCATCCCAGTCTTTCAGCAATGGGATGCCTGTGGGTGCAACGGAAGCAAATCATGCTTGTCTTCAATTTATGATATATTCAATAGCTCGTCCCAGGTTCGGGCGAATACCAAAGGGGATGCAAGAAATGAAAATACAGTTATGCAGTGTAAAAGGTATACAATAGGCGTGGTCAAACCTCGCGATTCAGTGCGCGATTCACCTGTGCGATTCACTTTCATGCAAAGTGAATCGCGGACCCCGGAACCCCAGCGATTCGGGGTGAATCGCGCTGAAAGGTGAATCACACTTTGACGCGATTCGCCTTGCGATTCACCCCTGCGATTCACCTCTACTCATATCTATTTCCAAATATGTACATGTATTACAAAAATAAAACTAAGCTTCTTTTCACCTCTAAATTCCAAAAACAATAAGATGATTTGCCTCTTCCTCGTGAGCACTACAGCATACATACTGTCCTCTGTTCTGTAAAAAATCCTTGTGTTCTCTGCTACCAAGCTCTGTTGTCTTCTTGCACATCACTGCACACATATCAAGTCCTTCTTGACATGGCCAAATGTATATGCACAAAAAAAAACTATTTCTTTAATTTTATATTATGTAATTTTAAGATCAAGGGTCGGTATATTGAGGTGAATCGCACATGTACAAGTGTGCTGGTCAAACCTGCACACACGATTCACCTTGCGATTCACCCTCTAGAATCGCAAGGTGAATTGCACAGAGAATCGCAAGGTTTGACCACGCCTAATTCCACACAAAACTAATGCTAGCTAGAAATCATCCAACACATTATTACATCGTAAATCTTCTACAAATATTCCTCTTCTTGATCTAAAAGCATGAAGGTAAAAAGCATGAAGGAAAAAAGGCGTTATTGCAGCTCAGGAGGCCAATCTCTCCGACGCCTCCACCGCCCATCCTCATCAAATCGTGGATTTCGTGGATACGTAAGTCCATCGCCTTCACTTTTCCCAATAGGTACTGCAAAAAACGGCGGAAAAGACAACCAAATCGGTATTTTGATGAACAAAGACAGGGAAAGAAAAGACGACTTACAGAACCAACCCCACACATTCCTCCCCATCCTATACCTCCAATTCTCACCCGCACTTTCCAACCACCAAATATTCCCCTCCGTATCCAGCTTCCCCCACTCCGTATCCCACTCTTTCCGTAACGCCTTTCGTCGTTTGTGGACGTTAGACCTCCTGGATAAGTTTTCATTTTCATGTTTGTCGTCACGTTTACGTAAATTAAATATTATAGTGAAGAAGGGAGACAAAGAAGATATAGAAGATATAGAAGGGAGGGAGGGGGGAGGGAGGAAAGGCAAGACGTACCGCCAATCACATAACGGAACCATCTGTCCAAGAATCGCGTGTTCGCGATGTCGCATGTTGGACATCATCAACCCTTCGACGCTCGTTTGGTTGAGCATGATCATGTGGATGTGTGCTCCGAGGAGAACACTCGTAAAGAGCGAGAATAATGCAGAGCTAGAAATGTTACAAAAGAGGACGGAGGATTGAGCCATACAGGGATTTTTTGAGTCCAGAAATGAAAACATACAGAGCAATGATCACAACAATTTGCGGATCGATATCTGCGCCAGATCTCGAGTCTCTCTTAGCTTGTAGGCCCACTAAAGTGGCAAATATCCACAACGTCCATGGGGTACTCCAGGTAAGGAAGTTGACAAAAAACTGAAGTCGTATATCACTAATTAGTTGCAAGAACGCTGACTTTCGGAAACAAACCTTATGATTATGTGCTCCGACACACTGCCCGACCCCTACAAGCACAGAATGAGTCAAATGGTACATATAGAGAAGACAGGGAGAATATATACATGGACAATGGTGATCATACATTAGCACACACTATCAGTTCAGAATTAGCTGCCTAGACTGTCTGGAACGGAAGGAACACACTCACAGTCCCACAGATTCTACAATGATGTGTCCTCATTGGCTTAACCAAACCATCCTTATGGCAATACTGATATTCTGGGAGCAAGCTCGGATATGTTGGTGGTCGCCGCGAATACATCGGTGGCGGAAGGCCGTCTTCCGTACTTCCCCCGGCCCGGGGAGGTTGAGATGTCCTCGGGTTTGAGGTACCTGTTGGATCTGCTTGTTTTGCTAGAGGGTGTTGTGGTGCATCTGACCCTCTCCTTTGAGAGCCGCCCAACTTTGGTTTTTCGACAGCCGTCTCGTCCGTGCTGCGCTCGCCACCGCTACTTCGCCGTACTTCATACCTCCCTTTGCTGTCGGATACTACAAGTGGCGTCCGACTCGCACTATCTTTCCGTCTCACCGACGAAGACGCCTGCGAGACGGGAGCAGGAGGTCGATGTGGAGCAGTACGAACGTTGAGCTCGGCCTGCTTCTCCACATCTACAGGTTGGTGTTGTCGTGAAGGGCCTTCGTTTGTTGACGAAGGTGAGATTTCAGCATACGGAGTGCCACCAATAAATCCATCTTCATCGTAATCAGACCCTTCATAGTCAGAGCCATTCCCCCACGAGCGGTGGGCTGATGGAGTCGTCCGTCGACCTGGAGCGAATTGATCTGATCTTTGTGGAGGTGGAGTCTTTTGTACAAACTAGGAATGCTGTTAGCATACTAGATATATGCGATATAATGCGGAGCTACATACGTCTCTTGCAAACCCTGGCGGTGTAAAAAGCAGCTGGTAGTTGATATTAAGCAGAACCGTTAAATTTGGGTGATCATAAGAAGCCCACCTTCATATACGACCACCAAAACATTAATCCCAATAAACAAAACACAATTATGAACACGACTAAGAAATCGAATGGGATCAACTGACTTTCCATTCGCTTGAGACAAAGTCTCAATAACATACCTCCCATACTCCTCCCACCAAACGCATTCCTCTCCCTCCTAATCATCGGAACACAAAATCGTCCAATATAGACATACCAAGCATACCCAGCGATACCAATTACGAATGGCACGACAATCTTCCGCTCAATCCAGGGGCGAGGCTTGCTTTCCCGCTCCCGACGCTTCATCTCACGTCTCTCTGAGAAGCCAATAAACTTGCGTTTGCGCTTCATCTTCTTGTTCTCTCCTTTAGTTTCGTTCGAGGTCTCGGGTCCCTCTGGCTTTGTTGCCTCCTTTGACTTTGGTTCATTAGTCACGGCTGGATGTTCAGCGTCATGATGCGACATTGAAGGGGGAGAAGAGAGAAGCCAGAGTGCCCTTGGGCTGAATAACTGAGAGGAAGAGAAGTGGGCTGAGCTGGGCTGAGTTGACAGCCAGAAGTCGGCTGCGGGCGGCAATGACGTACCGTGCATTTCATTACATAACACACCATTCATTTCATTTCGCACGTCGATCCTTCTGTCGCGACAGTACACCGTACAGTGTAGTATGTACAGGTGTCCCTGTCTATCCCCCAACCATACAAGAAATACACCCAATTAATTTCGACCTATTATGCCTCCTTCCGGCGGTACGTTACAATCTCGATGACCCTAAACAACTTATGCTAAATGGCTCGCCACACACTCACGTACTAATACAGAACCGAATAAATCGCCCAAACCACAACCGATTGGTAACGAGGCCTTCATCCTCCTCTTTACACTCTGCACCCTCTGCGCACTCTTTATCCTCTGGCGTCGGGCAAATAGCATTCGGACTGTCGTTGCGCACCAGTGAGTCGTGGTCTGTCCGACCCTAACATTCAGTTTCTAATAACGACAACGCATTTGTGTAGATTGAAGACATGGACAAGTACAGAAGGCCGTATACGCCTCTCAGAGGATGATGGTCCACCTGCACGCAGCTTTGTAGAAGACGACGCCGATGATGATGCAGATGATGCAGAACCGCTTGCGATGCGTGTCGAACGGCTGAGGAACGCTCGTAAAAGCACGGACGCTAACGACCCACCTCCCATTCCACCGCATAAAGCCCAAGTCCCGGAAGACCCTCTGCTGGCATGAGTGTCATCACCCTCACAAAGTAAACTGTGAGCCTGTCTGTCCTGTTTTACTGCGTGCACCTGAATTAATCGATTTGTATTATTCAGTCCCTTGCGACTCTCACACTCATCAATACCTCCTCACACTGATTCCACAAAGGCCATTTACTCATCCTCCCTCATTATCGTGTACGATTAATTTCTGCATCTACGTATATCCCTCGCAGCCCATCATCATCATCAAATTCGGACGATCCCGTGTACGAGAAAATGATATAGCCGAACAATCCAATCAAGAAACTTGTTTTATTACTCTCCCTTCAAACGACTAATTTCGGAAATGCAATACCACATAAGATGATGAAGTCTATGAAAGCAGTTGAAACAAGCAGGCTTTTCCGTGCCGACCAAGGCAGTTCAAGTGGGTATCTCCGATACCGGTGAACTGAACAAGACAAATATTAATTCTTCAGTCACATGGATGCCAGAACAGGTTTTGCCCATTTGGCTCTCTCTAATGGCCCTGCGAGATCAACAGTCCAGAAGTGGATAGAAGTGGACTTCATGTACGTGAACTGAAGCTCTGCCGAGTCGGAATAGACCACACGAGCGCAAATCACGATCTCTAGCCCGCAAGCAAAGAAGTGCTACTTTGGTATCAGCTGTATATTTGCAAGAGTGCTCAAGGGCAGTAGTACAATCAGATTTCCAAACAAAGAATCGAGTTCAAATCGCTCGGGCCAGACCTATACGCAATATGCAACTAACTTTTGCCTTATTAAGAGTCATTTCCACCAGGATATGAATCTTACTCGTATTCTAGCGCACGACCTTTCAAGTACTTGCAAAGCTGGTCCGGGAAACTCCAACGCGTTGAGCAATTGCTGTAAGGCTTGAACACACGGTTTGCCTAGTGGCGTTCGCAGGCAAAGGTGTGTTTTTATGGACCTACAAAAATCTTAATCTTGTTTGCATTCGGGATTTTGAGTCCGTCTCTCTACTCAATATAAAATCAGCCCATAAATAACTGCTTCATTGACACATTAACAATTAAGTGTCATTTCTACCTGGGTATGGACTCTGGAGTTGACATTCCCTCTATAAAACTAGCTCATATTTTAGCATACAACCTTACAAGTGTTTGCAAAGCTGGTCCGGGGAACACCGATGCGTCGAGCGTTTACTGTGAACACACAGTTTGCCAAGCGGCGTTCACATGCAAAGATGAGTTTATGTACCTACAGAAATCTTAATCTTGTTGGTATCCGAAACCCCCAGCCTGTCACTTTATAACCTGTAGTACCTTCCCTCTGAAGCACTGTGACTTTCTCGCTGAATCGCTTCCCAGATTAATTCTGTGATCTGAATGACCAGTCAAGGACTGTAAAAACCATGTTCCGGAATTGTCCATCATCGTCATAATCATCACAACCGATCTCAATCCAATACAAAACCAGGTCATGTATCTCCCACAATGAGCCAGAATATACCCTCAGCTGCCCCGTCAGAGCAACATCTTCTGAAGTTAGGTGACACTGTCAACAGTTATACATCAGAAGAACTGCTAGGTAGAGGCGCCACTGGGACTGTTGCTGTGAGTTATTCTACCAAACTGAAAAGTAGCAGAATCACTTGATTCACTATCTTCATGAATGCATAATTTATTGATTCCTCATTCAACAGAAGTGCAGAGATGAGAGTGGCAATTTGATAGCAATTAAAGTGATGTCCGAAACAGGAGAACGAAAAATAAAAAGGACACAGCAAGACGAAGGCAATACACTGAACAAACTAGGGAAACATAAATACATTGTGTATAATTATTTTCACTACTAATCCAAATCTGTTCTTGCATGTATTCACACAACAACTCAAACAAGGTTGCCTTTTTTGGCTCTTTCGATTATGTATACAATAATACTGAACAGAGGTGTATTGTGCTGGAATATGCACTGCATGGTACCCTTGACACAATAATGATAATGTGTGGAGACAGGTCTAAGGACTATTCCAAGTCATGTATAAGGTGACTATTAAAAAAAGAGAATATGAAATGGAACATCCACCAACAAACTCTTGAAGACAGATATGTAGGGGGTTAGAATATATTCATTCCATACACTGCTTACATGAAGACATTAAGTAGGTATGTTCTACTGAGATTTTGGAAAAGTACTGACAATAATTCAGGCCAGGAAATATCTTAGTAAAGAAGCAGGAACTGCTTGAAATCTTACTAGCAGATTTTACATTGTTAGCATAGCTTATTCCTCCTATATGTACAGTACTAAAATCAACCATGTCTAGAGTAAAATGGTTACTAGATGATTGTAAGATATACTCACTTTACTAGTCCTAATCCTTAGGAATAGTAACAGAATAGAGTAGAGAGGGTAAGACTTGTAGACTTGTATAGTGAGAGGGTAGAGGAATCCTGCTTTAGTCAAGCTACAAGTGTAGCCTAGTAGGTTGGTAGTAGAGTACTTCTAAGTACTAGGTAACTTAAGTTGATAAAACTATCTTTTGAGGGCCAAACTGGCCTCCTTATATACCTTTTGCTAGAGTGATGTTACTCTAGTGACTTTAGTAACTCTCTTCACTGTTGTTCCTATAAAGTGGAGCTGGCTAATCCTTTAGACTGTATGCTACACTGGTTTGTGTCTTCTATTAATCTGCTAACACTAGTTTGTGTCTTCTTGTATTCTAGATTAATCTTCTAATGACTCCTTTACTGTATTGTTATGTTTTCTATACTTCCTCTCATACTTCTAATGACTCCTTATGAGTCCTCCTAACTAGTTATGCTGTGTAAGCTGTATAATGCTTTTCCTATAAAGTAGAGCTCTCTATTGTTTCTATAACTCTGTCTGACTCAACCTGTACTTTCTGTACACTAGTTTGTAATACTACTTTT